TTTTTTTTTTTTTTTTGTTCAGCCGAGTAGACATATAAGATAATCATCAAATCTCTAGAAATATAGCAAAATTCAAAAACATTGCATAAAGCAATATATTTTGTTTTCTTTGGGTACAAGGTATAACAATTTTAATTTTTTTTTTTTAGCTTTCACAAAATCGATTGAAAATCAGACAAAACAAATATACCCTTCAAATTGCTTAAGCAAACTTAAACTTGAAAAAAATAATAACTGAGTTAGTTTGAAAGGTCTTTTGGGTCTTTTTTGATTAAATTGAAAATTTTGTTAACTTGATTACAGGATATCTTCTAATTAATTTTTGATTTGTAACGACCTCGAAGAGCATAAAAAAAAAGCTAAAAATGTTTGGCCAGGATATATGTATATTAAGCAAAATAGAATTTGTCTAGTAAAAGATCAAATAATTCCTGATTTGGCGCTGATAAACAGATCTTAATCTAATTTAATGAAATATGATTAAATGTGTGGGTGTAAAAAAATACCTAAGCCCGTTAAATCAGAAATACAAAATAAACAGTAGCCCAAATCAAACTATTGCACTAATTCTTTAATTCGTAAGAAATTGCTTAAGCTAAGTTCTTAAGCTATTCCCTTCTATAGTAAGCAACTTTCCAGTATGCGAGATATACATATATATATATTTGGTATATATGTATTATAATTTGGGATTTCCGGCTTCCCTCTTGCCAGCGCACAACAAATGGTAATCAAAATCAGCGTGTTGCATTGCCATAGCTGCCTTTGATCTGTTTCAATTCGATTTGCCTTGGGGGCTAGTTCTGCTGCCCGTTGGCGACACCAAAAACACGCTGGTGGGAATATATATTTATATATATATATAAGCTACACATACATATATATAAATAACAAAAAATAAAAAATTATAATATTGGGCTTTTTGTCGCTATTTTATAACTACGTATAAGTGCGAGGGCCCAACGGCAGAAGTAAATGACAGCGTTTCGTCGTTATTCCTTCCCTTCCCTTCAGTGAGGTGAATTCCATRACCATCCATCGAGCTACCCTTGTCTATAGAAATATATACATGGATCTATTGGTGGCTGGGCTGGCATGCTCTTCTCACATAGCAATGGGCACGAGTATGGGCGAAAAAAAAAAACGTGCCAAAGCATTTTTACCGGAACTGTCGATCTTCATTTTTGAAAGTGGGAAATATCACTTTATACGCAATACGATACCATATACGCATATGCTATATACATGTAGCTTTATATATACCTAGTAAATGAAACGAAAATTTGCATGAATTTTGAAACCAACAGACTAATACTCATTCACGGTTAGCAAATATTTAAAAACTGTATAAAATCCTAATTAGCAAAAAATTTTGATTATAAATATAGAAGTCTACAGATATATATATTTCACATTTTATAGTAATATTTTTCAAGTCAGATTGTGCATATTCAAGACGACATGGAAATTGTACAATTTAGCAATTTAGAGTATTACAATCAAAACAAAGCCAGTGTTCCAAAAAATATACATAACTGATATTTTTTAATTATATAGCTCATATTTCTGGTATATCATTCATAAGAATAAACAATCATAATTAGTGCTTAGTGAAATGTCTATATTTCATATTTATAATTTTGAAGGCATTCAGCAACGGTGAGCAATGTCGTTAGGTTATTATTAATTATTTATCAGGAAATTAATCATAGACGTAGATTTATATTATATCAACACAAAACATTTGACAAATAATATGTGATAATTTATATATGCATATTCAATATCCTTCTATAAACAATTAAGGTATTATCATTTATATTTTTAAAAAAAATCCTGATATATT